TACTAACTTTTTGTTTTTTTTGTTCCTAGCAAAATTGGCATTGGGAAAATCCGCACACGGACGTGTGGAGACGGCCTTCAAGGAGAAGGTCAAATTCCGCCTCAACAACACCGTTTTCAACTGGAAACGGAGTGAGAGGTTGACGGCGACAAGGCCAAGCCGGCACCTATGGCCAATTCCGACTGGCGGAGTCTTGTCCAGTACTGGTTGGATCCGCACAACCAGACTACTGCCGCCAAGTGTTCCAGATCCAGGTAATTTAATTTAATTAATAATTACATTATGTGTTTTTCTACTTATAATATATTCTAATGAATATATTTTTCAGGAACGTTATTGACGATGCGGGAAATCGGAAGAACATCCCGCACACTTCCGGCCAGATTCCTTTTGCCGGAAGACGCCTTATGATTGTAAGTAAATTTAAATTATTAATTTTTGTTTTTAAATAATTAACCCTTATTTGTCTTATAAATTTTTTCATTTTGATTTTGTAGGTCGAAGAAACGGAGGAGAACTTCCTCCGATGACGAAGGTTTTCGCCGAGACGCATAAAAAGCGAAACGGCGAATTCACGGATGCTCGGGCGGAGGAGATCTACAACGCCGCCTGTGCGGCGATTGAGGAGCGGCAGACACAACTGACTCAACAAGCGCGTCCAACGTCTCCCGGAGGTAGCTCGTTCCAATCGATCCCGGCGCTGACGGTGGCGGAGATGGACCAGATTTTCGAAGAGGTAAATTCAATTAATATATTTAATTAATGTAATTTTAATTTTAAATTGAATTTTTAACCATAATGTTTTTAAATATTTTTAGGTTGCCCCAAAGATAAAGGGGCGGGTATTAGGGATGGGATCCATCCGTGATACTCCGAGAGCTACGGCGACAGGTCACGTCCGGGCCCCGGATCCGGTTATCCGCCAGGAGATCGACCAGATGCAGACCCACTAAGAGACGAAGATCGACCAGCTGTACGGTCTCTTCGAGATCATGGGAGCTGACAACCCGGTGCTCATGGCGCAGTTGGACAGGCTGCAGGCTGATGGGGTTGTCGGATCGTCTGCCGGGTCATCTTCTAGGAGGCAACCACCGGTGCAGACAGACGAGGAGATGTTCCGGTTTCTCGGGGTTGATCCTCCTAGAACCGGAGATCAGGCGCCAGAAGCCTCTAACCGAAGACCCGGCAAAGAACACGTCGAGGACGATGGGGAGCAGGCCGGTGACGGGATCGACGACATTGATGTAGATTTAGATTTAAAGCTGTAGAGTTTTTTTGTAAATACTAAAAATAATTTTAATTTGAAATTTAATTAAATTTTAAATTGTAAATTTTTTTTTTAATTTAAATTTTAATTCGAATTAATTTTTTCAATTATATTAAACGCCGTATAATCGTCGTAATATAATTATTATTATTTTATAAAACCGTCGTATATTCGTCGTAAATAGTACGACGATGTTACGACCAAAATGTACGACGACAAATACGATGATTATACGTCTGTGTTTTACGACGATTTAACGACGGAATGATAAAATAATTTACGATTGATTTACGATGATTTTTGCGTCGTATATTTTACGACGATCTTACGTCGATTTTTAACGACCACTTAACGACGGTCGAGGCGAAGACCAAATCGACGCAATTCGATGTAAAATCGTCGTAAACTGTACGACGCATTTACGACGATCTTTTTTCCTCGATGTTACAACGAAACGAAACCGTCGTATATTATACGACGATTTTACGACGATTTGTCTATTACGACGATGAGTTTACGACGATTTTGAAATCGTCGGTGGTCCGTCGTAATAGCCCTATTATGACGAAATAACGACCATTTTGGCCGTTGTAAAATGATGTTTTTCTTGTAGTGTCAGCATTGACATTTATAATCTGCAGGTTAGATTATTTTATATTCACAAGTTTCACATGAATATAGAGTTTTCATCCCAACCTTCTCCTTTTCATCTTCCTTCTTAGGAATTTTGTACACCTTTCTGTCGCATTTAGTACAGACCAGATAAAACCAAGATCAATCTGTATCGGCTGCATAACCGTACACATGATTTTACATTTTCCAATCTGAACACAGTAAACTCAATGATTAGTAAAAACTAAAAAGAAAAAAAAACTAACTGCATGAGTAGCCTTTACCTCTAGAAAATCAAATAACTCTGAGATTGTGACCATTGGAAAATGCTCAAAACTCTTATTATTGTTCAAAGTTTTTCTCTCGGCAGGTTTACTATAGAGTTGCACAATACGGACACTGTCTTCAGGCAAGCTTAAAAGTACATATGGTTATAAATCAAGAAAAATACTATTTCATGTGTTGTTACTGCCCTGAGGCCTGGTTCAAGGAGAAGTTCTCGATGAACTTCCAATCACCAACAGTAATCAAACACTCGAAATGATGAAGCAATGATTTTTTAACAGACACATGAATTTTGGTACCCTGCATATATGGAAAAACAGCTTTAATAAAGCATAGGTAATATGTATTTAAAAGTTTTAAAAATGTAAATCTTCTTATCGAAATATCTTATCATTTCGTCAACCAAAATCATTTCCAATGACTTTCCAATCTTCTGCTGATATTGCTTCCACGTATGAAGCATTTTCACTTGAATTTTCCATCCTGTTTTAAAAGGTCTGACGTCAGACAAATTCGACAGTTGCATAACACAACCCATAGCTAACTGGTGAACACGTAAGAACTGTCGTATATATGAATTAAGGGTGGTGTGGCACAAATCCGATGACTACTAATCAATTTATATAGCTTTGAAATTAGGGTTTATATTAGACGTTAATTCAAAATTCCATATAGCGCCTATATTTAAAATTTTGAAAAAAATCTAACAAATATGGAATATGCTTCCGAATAGCAATGATTGATTTAGTAATGTAGTTATGGCAGTTATATATATGAGTTTTAATAAATAGAAATTAAATAATATCAAATAAATTTTCAAAAATTGTTTGTAATATATTAGATTGTCACTTAAGATTATATGTAGTGGGGAACTTCAATGATTAATTCAAAATATAAAATTGATTCACTCTTTATATATGCAAGACAATGAAGGGAAAATATATATATATATATATATATATATATATATATATATATATCGCCTATCATATATTATATTATCAATTAAGGAAATATTTATGACGAAAGATCCTGCGGCAATTATGTATTTTTTGATTAATGAAATAGTTTCTTTAGCTTAACTACTATCTATAAGAAGATCTACTAATAAATATCAATCAATCAAGATATCCTTGAAATTGTTTTATATACGATATTCTCAGCGGATCCTATTTTGCCGGAATCTTTTAAAAAATTATACATAACAATTCTTTTATACCAAAACGCAAAAATTGATATCGTTTCGATCAAAGTAGGATCTTCGTCTTTTTAAACGGGTAAAATAAAAAGACGTAGATCTTTTTTGGTTTTAGTTTTTTTGTTTGTTCGTGAAAACATTATTTGGTACGAATTGTATAAGAATTCACTAATGGCATATTTCGTAGTATACCATGTAATACCTATGTCATTTTCTAAGTATACTTCTCTTTTAATAGTAGAACTATTAGAAGATATTTCTTTTCCACTGAAAAAAATAAACTTTCAAATGCATCGCCGTCCAGATTTCTTGGTACAAATATAAGTTTTCATATATACCAAATTACTACTATTAGAAACAAAAAGAAATTAGGCTCTTTTATCATCATTTAAATTTAAGGATTAATCTGCGCTGTAGCGTGGGGGATATGTTTTTGCCCTTTAATTACATTAAATAATTTTGAAAAGACAATTATTTTGTAAAAATAATTATTCTGTAAAAACAATTATTTTTCAAAAATAATTATTTTTCAAAAAAATGATTTTGTGAATTTTATAAAATGAGTTGATCTGTATATAGGATAATTTTTTTGGTTTAAATTCTAAAAAATGAGTTAATTCGTATATAAAGTAATTTTATAAGTGGGTAAAGCAAAATAAACTGTTTATTTAACCCATTGGCATTAGACTAATATATTATTGAAGCTAATACACAAAATATTATAATATTATATCATTAAATCTAATTTGCATTGCTTAATAATTGAGTTTTATAATCTGTCCACAAACTACAAAAAAACAGTTTTATCTTTTTTAACTATATATGTAAATAAATATAATATTCTTTAAACTTAGGTTTGATATAAAATTAATTAAAATACAACAAATAATATTTAGTTTTAAATGATAAATTCTAATATTTAGTAGACTAAATATACTTCCTATAAAAAAACTAATATTTTGAATTGCAAGATTTTTTTGGTAGATATTAAAAAATTAGAATCATAATCCATTCATATCGAACTAACCCGTTTATTTAATATGTTTGTACTGTATTAAAATATAAAACTAACTATTATATGCACCGTTTAATAACTCTCACTTCATCATAATTTTTTTAATTAAAAATTAATTTTTTCTCATCTCAAATGTTTGGTAAAAATAACTAAAATTATTTTTATATAATCAAATAAATATAACAAATTCTAGTAAAAATATTTCACCATTTTTTATATCATAACTTTTAGTATTAATTAATTTATTTATTTCTGAATGTTTTCTATTTTCATGTTTTTTAATTAAATATACTTTATGATATCATTTGAAACAAAAATATAAAAAAATTACCATATTTTTTTTGAATACAGAAATTTAATAATAAATATACTCTATTAAATGAGAAACAAATACTTTTCATATTTTTTTTTATCTTTTTCTATTTTAATTATTTTTTGTTATTTGTAATAGCATGTAATATTTTATAAAATAAAAGCTATTTTTAAATGTCTATTTAAATAATAATATAGAGATTGGTACACATATATTTTTATACATATACCAACTTACTGTTACAATCTTTATTAGTTATTATCTCTTACATGTAGACCATTTTATGGTAAAGAGAATAATCGCATGATCATCATGGATGATCACCTGAGCGGCACCGGTTAATTTTGGAGCATCCTGGTTTATGTTCGTTAACTTCCTCCTTAGGTTTTCCTTCGGATCCAGGGGGATGGCATCCTACTGGAGGATTAGGACGGGAACATGGATTGAGCAATCCTGGTTTTAAGAATTTACGCCCATCTTCTGATGACGATGGCCCTGCCATCAGAACAATGCTTATTAACATCAAACATATCACCCAAGCCTTCATTTTTTGTGAACTCTTTTCCTTTTATTCCCTTCTACGATCTGTTAAAAAAATGAACAGATTGAGTTATTAAAGCTTTGTATGTTTGTTGTTGTCAACAGTATATAACTTTATATGTTTCAGAAGAGGAAAGTAGCTTTTATAGCTTTTAACGCGGTCCAATCATTTCATGGTCTAAATTTGTAATTGTTTTAAATAAATAGAGAAAGAACAAAACAACCTAACAGAGTCTTCAAAGTGTCTAATCTGGAATCTTTAATTTAAGCGTTGACTATTTTGTAGTCTGATTTGCGAAAGCTGTATCTAACCATTTTCTAAAAGCTGTATCTAATAGGAAATAGAGGGATTGCTTGAGCTTTTACTGTTAGTTTTTACCTATGACTTTTTAATTTTAAAACTTTTGGCTGTAAAAAATGTTTCTTATTTTATAAATGATAATTAATTTGTTTTAAGAAGTATTTTACCCTATATTTAACAAAAAGTTTTAGATATTTCTGGAAAAAATATATAGTAAAAAAAGTTAAATAAAATTGATCTAAAAAAACAGAAAAAAGATATTATAATTAATTAATTAAATTTTGTTACGAATAAATCATACATAAATCTATAAATAGCTTTGAATAATGTTAGAGGAAGATAATTACATTTTTTTACTTTGATTTTGTAAAAGTTTCTCCTACGTAGCTTTTAGAAACCAAGACAAAAACTGAAAAAATATGACTTTTAAAACTTCTGACTTAATAAAATAAAAAAGCATGCTTAAAAAAAATATGACTTTAAAGACTGTTAAATGCTTCAAAAATCTTGAAAGTCTAATACTAAGCAGACCTAGAAAAAAAATAGAGAAAGAAAAAATATGAAGGCTTGGGTTTATGGGTTATATACTTACATGTTTCTTGGTAATAAGTATCGTCGAGATGATTAATCCAATAACAGTTTCCAATGGAGCATGTTTGTCAGTTGTCATGCTTTAGACCCAGAATATTTTTTACGTCCAAAAACGAACTCAAAACTTATCACAAACCCTAAAATTGAGAAACCTTTGAAAAGCTTTATTAAGCGTAATCCGGTTTTCGAGAAAAAAACCCTACACCTAGAAGTTTTCTTCCATTCTGTATATACAACTGAGAGAACCAAAAGAGAGAAGATTGAGATAAACGTAGCAAAGCTCTGCCCAGTTGTTCCTGACATAAACCACCAGAGGGAAAGGGAGAGAATAGATCAGTAGATGAAGAAATGTCCTAAAGTTCCATTTCCGGCTCATCGTGGATGAGATTCTTGACAATCTTTTGATTTTCATTGAAACGGTTAAATTGCTAGACCTAAATGTTTTTGAGGTGAAATTGGTGGGTAAATATTCAATTTCCCATGCTAGTTCACTCCAGTTTGATTTATGGTCGAATATACTCTATATGATTTATGGTTGAGTATAGTGATGAGTTGACATGAAAGTATGTCTTCCGACTAGAGTTTAATCCGTGCAGCATGTCTCGACCTATATTGAAAATCTGTCGATCAACATGTCGATGGTGAAGTTTAAAGGCGTTTGAAAACCTAATATATAGCTTAATTTTAAAATTAAATATCCGATTTGTTGATCTTGTGCCTTCAGATTTCATCATATGAGATAAACACAAGACCTTGGGCTCCTGGTTTCTTACCAAGCCTATATTGTGCCAAAAGCAAAGTTTGTCTTTCTCTTTATGTGAAATGTGTGGTTGTGAGAAAACCTTATCCACATACCTTATCTTCTTCAACACAAGAGAGAGACAAGATCTAAGATTCATGAGTGGAAAGTTCAAGATCAAGAGAGAAGTGAAAGAGAAGAGTTCTCGGAGATAGAGGAAAGGGTGGGCCGCCAATCTCCTTCCCTAAAGCTTTCTTCCTTTTGGTTGGTTGTGTTTGGTTGTGGAGAGACAAGACATGTTTTAGAGGAAATAACCAAATTGTGGCTCTTAGTTTGTGGTGCCCAGAGAAGAAGAAGCCATAAAGCCTTTCTTTGGTGAGCATCATTGGCTTTCTTGGGTGTTGAAGAAGCATGTAGAGACACGAATGTCTCTGTTGGAACTCATTATGTATCTCTTTGGTGAGTGACACGAATCTGAGAAGGAAAGGAGGTGTACCACTCATTTTGGTAATGCTATGAAGCATCTCTCTCACAGCAACTTAAAGAACAAGGAGAAACAGTTCTGAAGCAGCTTCAAAGGGAGTCTAGTAAGTGGTTTGCTGAGGTAGTTTGGTAAGGTTTTGTTTGTGGCTAAGAGCAGATCGGATAGACCCTTTGTGACACTAAAAAGTATGTTCTTGAGTTGTTTAACTAGTGTGAACCACTTGTATAGCTCAGAGTTATGTCATGTAACTGAGCGTGAGAGTACGAGAGAGGTTGTGGGATCATGTACATGGGTGATGGAACATAGTGGATGCAGTTGAGGGACAGAGTTTCCCTCCCCTGAGATGTAGCCATTTTAGTGACCTCAGGGTTAACAAATGTTTGTGTTGTTCATATGTTTGTTAAATCCGAGAATCACATAGTCTTGTTTCTAACTCAAAAACAATTGGCAATGAGTAAACTGACACATATCCTTTATATATTGCTTAAGATCCATTCCAACTTCCAATGTGGGATACATTCCTTAATACAACCCCTTGAGATGATTGGCCATCAATCTCAGTATGTTTGGGCTTGGATCGATGAGACCAGCTTTGGATCGGATCGATAATAGATCGAGTTGGACATCATGGATCAGGCCCTGTACCATATTAAGTTACATGGATTTCTAACTCAAAACCAATTGGCAATGAGTAGATTGGCTCATACTCTTATATATTAGTCAGTATGCCCCCTTGAATTGATGACTCTTTGGCTGTCAATCTTTGTATGTTTGGGCAAAGATGATGGACCAACTTTGTGTCATATCAATAATGAATCGGGTTGGACAGCGTGGATTTGAGCTCAGATACCATATTAAGTTTTCTAGGTTTCCAACTTAAAATCAATTGATAATGAGTAGATTGGTCCATATCTCTTATGTATTGCTTAAGATTAATTCAACTTAGAGATGCAAAACTCAACACGATTAAACTGGTCAAACCAGATTAATTCGACTTGAAAATTCATACCGTCCATGTTCAAAATTCCCGTTTTATTTTTAGTTTACAAATCATCTACTTTATTTATACATACAAAATATTGATGACGTTTACATACTTTTCACTCAGCGTACCATGATGGTCGTTGATTGGTTCGTCAATCAAAGCTCGGTTTGGCCTAGGCCACTTTCTCCTCGTGAAACCTTGATGTGCTGTCGTGTGTCGAGGGTGTCAAGTTTTACCCTAAATGAAATCAATAGCCGCAAGTGCACAGCTGATCGATTGTAGTACTTAGGGATCAAATCCACAGGGAAGGAGGATCTTTCCTGCAAAAGCCTTCGAAAGAAATATGAAGTAAGGAAGTCTAGAACCAAATGATTTTTGTGAGGGTTTTGGTGGTGTGTTTAAAATGTAAAAACGAATCTTAAAGAGAGAATACGGGAATTAGAATGACCTAATAACTAAACTTAACGAAAACAGGTAAAAACGAGAAAAACGACTATCCTAATTGCTTAAATGAAAATCGATTGAAAATGAATGAAAATATTGAACTAAAGCTTGAAATAAAACGGTGTGAATCTATAAGAAAGAAAGCGCTGGGGTTCTGGGAAGTTTTCTCAGGGGTACGAACGATCCAAAACATTGCTAGAGAGTAAATTTGATATGATCTTAGCTTAAACTTTTCGAACTAGACTCACGGACGTAGGAATACGCCACTGTCGTGATCGTAGACAACTATCTCTCTCAACCATGACCAGTAGGTTTCCACTCTGGCCCTGGAAAAGAAGAGATGCATTATGTTTAAGACTCGTCAGCATTCACAAATCTCCCATAGGTAGGTTTTCACTCCTTTGTTTGTTTTGCTCTCCCAAACTAGATCTGACACCGGATGAACACTTTCGTGTCACCAAGCATCTGGATCAGATTGTAGTTCATGACGCTACTCTCATACAGTAAAAACGAATTGAGAAGAAAAAGTTCTAAGATTCGGCTCAAAAGCTCATGGAATCCTCACCGAACATAAAAATCCCCATCGAAAATCCCTTAGACCCAACAATAAAAGTACTCAGACATGATAAACGAAATCAAAAACATAGTATTAAATAGTAGAATAGAAACCGAAATTGAAAAAGAAAGAACAAGGGTTCAAGAGACAAATCTCTCTCTCCCTAAAACCTAAAACTTAAAAATTATTCTAAAACAATAAGAACATATGATGTGATACAAATTAGGGTTCCTAAAACATGTATTTATAGTGCTCAAGACATCTCTAGGGTCTAGGGTTCCGGAATCAAGGCTGGGAAAATGATATGGGCTTCAGAAATGGGCCTTCGGAATTGGAATTAGCTGGCCGCAGTCAGGACGTGCGTGACCGCGGGAAATGGGTGGCTGGCCGCGGTCGGGATGGCTGTGACCGCGGGGATTGGTCTGTTGGCCGCGGGTGGAAACGCTTGTCGGCTGGTTTACGGGACATCTTGCTCTTCGCGTATCTTTTGATTGAACCGTTGGATTGCCAAGCTGTAAAGTGTGCTGGAAAGCTGATACTTCCATCTTTAAGATCTCCAAATTTGAGCTGGATCAGACGGTGAGAAGGCCTTCAATCGGGGGTGAACTTCTGACGGTTTGACTTTGAGCTGAAATCTGGTTTTCTATCCATTTTGTTAAGCTTTTTCCAAAGTTACCTGAAAAGAGTCTTAGAACTACAAATACTAGAAAAACGTAATAAAATTACTTTAAAAAAATTAAAAACATAGAAAAAGTATTTCAAAACGATCCATAAAAGTGGTTAAAATACGGTGTTATCAACTCCCCCAAACTTAAACCGTTGTTTGTCCTCAAACAAAACAAAAGCCTAAACTGGTTAAGTGAAAACAAAAATAGGGAATGCACAAATCTCAGAGACATGAACTCCT